TTCTGTTTCTGATCCCGGGTGTTGTTTCTGTTTCTGATCCCCTCGGCTGTGGAGTCACCAGATTTAAAGGTTACCAAAGGAGCTGCTGCTCCATTACCCCCCCGACTAAACACATCTGTCTGTTACTGATACTCACCATGGGGGGGGGGGAACTCCCCCACCCCCGACCCCCCCCGGGGGGGGGGGGGGTTCCCCCCCCTGTGGGGAGGGAGGAGAACCGGGGGGGGGTCTGTAGCTTCATAGTAACGCAGCTCTGAAAGAGTGAACCCCCCGATAGATGTAACAAAAAGGACATAACTTTGATAACAGTAAATACAATAAACCCAAAGGAGCTGATGACTGGATGTTGTTCATTAGGATTTTATTTTTGGAGGCAAATCAATGAATATATGTACTTTATACAGTATATGAGGAGCACATCTCTACAGTTTCATAATGTAAACAATCTCTGAAGAGAAATGTATTCAGTTTAAAAGGAAGCCATAGTCTTCTGTTTTAAACTATTTACATGAATTAAAATATAATTTATAACATCAGATACTTTAGCTTCTATGAAACTAGATTTTAACAATTCAAAAATACTGAAATGCCTTTGTCTCAACATTCTCAAGACTTATGAAATCACACAAAAGGAAAAAAACACCATTTAAAGACATCCAAACTAAGTGGCATATAAATAAAAAAAACGCAAAATAAAACCAACATATGTAAAAATAGAAAATCTCACTAGCAGTATTTACCGTTTGTTTACCAAAAACTAAGTTAAAAAAACAACCAAAAAATCATTGTGAATTTTGATAGTCATTAGATCTAAATAGACAGTTAAATCAATAGTAATGAAAAAAAACAAAGTTTGCCCTTTATGTCAACCGAAAAACAAAAAACACCCATACATATTTAGCAGATTTCGACAGTTTACAGTCCCTACGGAGCTCTACCTGACAGAAGTGCTGTAGTTTGATCTCAGGGTCAGCTTCATGGCCTTAGTGGGTCTGGACGGTGAGAGACTCCCACAGATAAACCCAAACATCACACCGCTGGATCCCACAACTCTTTACTTTATCCTATTCTGTCTTTTCTTCTTCTTTTTTTGGTCTACTGGCCTTTCAAGACGTTTATATTTTTCTTGCCATTTTCCATTTTTCTGAAATGAAGTGGAAAGAAAAAGGTTTTGCATTGTGATGAGGGAATTCCCTTTGGAAGCTGTTTCTTTTCTTAGTTTTTTGGATCTTTGCCCTTTGACCCAGGACCTAGACCAGCGGAAATGTGTCAACGTGTTCTCAAAACACTGAGGAGAATGATCAACATCAACGTTTTCTATAAGAAAGTATATAATCATCTAGATATCTACACAAACACACAAATATATATTTATATATATATTTATATATATATATGTATATACTTTTTATTATATGGCTATTGAAAAAAGTTTCAATTACGTCAGTAATTATTCAATAATAAACCACACTGGATTGGAGAGGAGTTTCAACAGTAATAATAAAAGCTAGTGGACCCCCCCC